AATATAAATGTAATCAATAATTTATTATTTTAAAATGACAAACGAGTCAAACAAACACAATTTTGAAATCAAGTACTACGTACTCCGTATTCAAAGTTCTTGGATAATGGAAATGAAAACAATACTCTAATAAATAAAAAAAACTAAAAGTTTGGGTTTAATGCACCAAATCCCCTTGTGAAATATAAATTCGGCGCATTAGTCTTCTGTGATTGAAAAAATGTGTCAATCCCCCCTTATTATAATTAATCATGCGCAAAAACCCCTCCAAGAACAAATTTTACAATTTTGAAATCACTTTTTTTAAATAATATGGTTGAATATGCAAGTAACTTTGTCAAAATTTCTAAATTATACAAGAAAACTAATCATTTTTCATTTTTTTGGAAATTAAATTTGTTCTTGGAGGGGGTTTGGGGCATGATTAGTTATAACACAGGGGGGTTTGACGCATTTTTAAAGGAAAAATTGGTATTATTAATCCCAACTATTCGCGGTCCGCATTTAATAATCCTTATTATGGATTATTTCCCTGTAGTCCCAACTTTGGATCCCCTTTTCTTTAAATAGTCCCTCACTGGGTGGCTTTACTTATGACCGGAAAGATTAGGCACGTACTCCCTCTTATGGAGGGAGTTTGGTGCAATAAACCCCTAAAAGTTCTAATACATATTTTCACTGAAGCTAACAATTTTAAGAGATAACCTCGTTTTAAAAAGGGAAAAATAAATAAAATAGCCCAAACTTTGAAGGGGTGTGAGGTAAGCACCCCAAACTTGCATATATAGTTTAAATATCCCAAACTTTATATAAAAAATAATTTTAGCACCATGATCATGTATTATTTATTTCAAAAATGTTACGGAGTAACTTTTTGTGTTAATTTCATAATTTAAAATGTTTTAGCATTGATGTAGATACAATTAACATTCTAAACTTTAAATGTAAAATAAATATTGTTACCCCCCCACTCTATATAATTGCAACGTTTTCAATTTGCTATTTTAAATTATGCAATTAACACAACAAATTTACATTTTTGAAATAAATAATACATGATCATGGTGCTAAAATAACTATTTATATAAAGTTTGGGGTATTTTAATTACCTGTGAATGTTTGGGGTGTTTATGTCACACCCCTTCAAAGTTTGGGTATTTTAATTATTTTTTCCTTTAAAAAAAAGACAACCTCCAATTCTAGTACATCTATGGAAAGGTTGGTGAAATCAAGTACTCATTTATCCTCCAAGCTCCCAAAGCCATCTCCACCAACATCCCATATTTTATTTGTCATCCATATACTTAGCTGGTTAGTTGTGTGTGAGATTAAAACAAGGTAAAATTTATGTTTGTTTTTTCATTTTTTTAGAATTTCATTATGTAAATTTTGGTTGTTATTTTTTAAAAGTCCATACGTGTATCCGTCAGGATACGGGTATCCGAAACTTTAAAATAATTACCAAAAAATTGGAAACTTTTAATAAATTACAGATACGATCCGGGAACGTATGATACATATATAATAGAGTATTTGATACGGAAACGTTTCTGATACGCCGATACATTATTCTAGTCAAATATCTGTGCAGAGCAGTAGACCATTTTGAAACACCATTTTGTTTCATTATGATAAATTCAAGCAATGGTATTTACTTGAGGCAGTATTTACTTGAGGCACGCCTCTCTGAAGGCTGGATATGATTTCTTTCTTCATTTTCACCACATGTTAGAGATATTACAACGATATCTCTGTTGATATTTTTACCCACCTGATGGTATATTTGCATCTCGAAAAGGATCAAAAGGAAATGAGAAAAGTTAGAAATTTTCTAATGTGCCTTGTGTTTAGAATACTTGGAAATTTTCTGACATTTTTTCATTATTATACAAATTTATACACCAATATACATTATTAAAATCAATTAACGTTCCTAATATTGAAATCCATTATAAATTTTGATTATAATATATAGAGGTTCTTTCAAAATTATTACCGCAATGAAACTTATTTGTACAAATATGACTTATAATTACTTAGAATAATTTCGTGGCCCCTGAATTATAAAAATTAGATATAAGTTACTATTATAATTATTACACCTAAGATGTCATATGTTTATAAATAACATTTGTTTTAGTCATATATATATATATATATATATATATATATATATATAATTATTGTATATAAATTTTCTACACCTAAAATTTTAACTATTGTATATATATTGTGTGCATGTGTGTGTGTTTTCATGTCCAGCCGGCCTGACGGGAACCGCCGTCCGGCCGAGGGCATTTCGGGCACTTCCCGGTGGAATTTTTTGATGAAATTTTTTGAGCATGTTCTTCAAGAAGTCTAGTTTATCAATACCAAATTGCAGCTAAAAGTTCAATCGGGAAGGCACTCAAATAATTTCTTGAAGTTAACTGGGCAGTTCATACATATAAACTGCGCAGTCAACTTCAAAAAATGATTTGAATGCCTTCCCGATCGAAATTTTAGCTAAAATTTGGTGTGGATAAACTAGACTTCATGAAGAACATGCCCAAAAAAATTCATCAAAAAATTCCACCGGGAAGTGCCCGAAATGCCCTAGGCCGGACGACGATTCCCGTCAGGCCGGCTGGACAGGAAGACTACTCTCTCTCTCTCTCTCTCTCTCTATATATATATATATATATATATATATATATATATATATATATATATATATATATAACATTTGTTTAACAATTCAAAAATGTCGGGTAAGTTAAATTAACCGGAGAAAAACAAAGTGATCAAATGGATGTGAGTCATTTGACAAGATATAAACAAAAAGCCAATTATAGCACAGTATTTAGGGTTAGGGGTTTAGAGTTTGAGGTTCGAGGTTTGGGTTTTGGGGTTTGGTGTTTGGGGTTTAGGGGTAGGGTGTAGGGTTTAGGGTTTAGGATTTAGTGTTTAAGGTTTAAGATTTAGGATTTAGGATTTAGGGTTTAAGATTTAGAGTTTAGGGTTTAAGGTTTAGGGTTTTGGATTTTGGGTTTAGGGTGTAGGGTTTAGAATGTAGGGTTTAGGGTTTAGGTTAGGGTTTAGAGTGTAGGGTTTAGCTAAAACCTACACTCTACACCCTATAGGGTGTAGAGTGTAGGTTTTAGGGTGCAAGATTTAGAATTTAGGGTTTAGGGTGTAGGATTTAGGCTGTAGGGTTTCAGATGTAAGGTTTAGGGTGTATGGATAAAGGATGTTAGGTTTAGGGTGAGTGGTTTAGGATGTACGATTTAGGGACTCAGGAGTAGGGATGGGCAAAAATACCGAAATATCGGTATACCGCACTTACCGTACCGAAAAATACCGGAAAATACCGAAATATTGGTATACCGTCATTTTCGGTACGGTAACGGTATATGTTTTCAAATACCGCGGTATACCGGTATAATATCGTACCGACTCCCTACTTAACAATTACTTTTAATTCTAATATATTGTAGAAATCCATTACAATTTTGAAGCCTAAAATTAATACTTAAGTTGGTTACAAATACAAAGACACAAAAATAAAGGCCCAATTTACCCACTATAACCTTATAGACTTCTACTACGCTAACCTTAAATGACTAATGAGTAATGTACAAATGTCAAGAAACAAGTCCATCTTGTTCCAAGAGCTTGCAAGTCATGATGGCTGGGCCGCTAAGTAGCTGACGAGTGAAGATAGATACACTTATGTGACAAGTGTATCTACATAGGGATTCAGCGAGTCGAGACACACAACTTTGTCCGAAAGTCTTATTCAATTTTTAAAAAATTATAAAAAATGACTAAATACACAATATCATATTAGGAATAAATGATTTTATATCCATGTTGTTTGAATAGTTTAATTTATTTTTGTTAGAGATCACTATTGATTTAACTATATCTATATTGTTCAAGTTATTTTAGGAGAATGTGTTACTTTTTAATATGTTGTATATTGAACTGCTTAAATATACTAATAATAATTATTGTTCAATATTGAATTGACATCAATAGATTATTAATTGTATTTCCTAACATTTTAATAATAGATTTAATATGTCACTAGTAATAACGATTTAGTATATTTCGTTAGTTTATGATAATTTTTTGTATTGGGAGACATGCACGGTAATTTATCGATACCGTACCGTTACCGAACCGAAACTTCGGTATGCCGAAATGCGGTATACCGAAACTTCGGTAAGGTAAAGGTATGCAAATTTTGCATACCGAAAGTTTTGGTACGGCAAAGGTATGAGAAAAAATATAAGGTATACCGTACCGAACCACCCCTACTCAGGAGGCAACTTACACATCCAATGATTTGACCTTTTCTTAATCGACTCCTTCACAATGATATGTATTGAGGACCATGTACTCCTATTCTCAGGTTTCAAAACAATACTTTTAATGGTGTTTATCTTGTTGAAGAAAAAAAATCACTTGTCTTATGAATATTAATCCACTCCTACCATTGGTGAGTGGTGACTAACCATTATTCTGTTTTTATACGGAGTTAGGGGTGGACTCGGGTCGGGCCGCTCGACCCGAAACCGGACCGGCCCAGTACCCGGTCTTGGGGACGGTTCGGGCCAACCGGAACCGGTCTAATCCCAGTGCAGGCTCAGGCCCCCTAAAATGCGAACCGGCCCGGCCAGTTCGGACCATTTTTTTTTTCAATTTTTTTTTTCTACCGGGTTGGGTTGGGTGTTTTGGGGGTTGGGGGAAGGGGGGGGGGGGGGAAGGTTTGGGGGGGTGGGGGGGGTTTGGGGGAGGGGGGTCAGGGGTTATTTAGAAAATCAAAAGAAATTAAAAAAAAATGAACCGGGAACCGGCCCGGCCCAGGCCGATTCCGATTCCGGTTCCTTACTTCCCAAACAAAAGCCCGGCCACGCCCGAACCAGAACCTGCCCGGGTCCACCCCTATACGGAGTACGTGATTGTGAATTTATTGTCATTTTTTTGCTCTATCCATCTATCCAAACAATTTTAAGTGATTCTCGCGTCATAAATAACACCATAAATGAAAAAATCTGAAACAAAACAAAACAAAAGTTACAAAATAAAATCAAAACTCCATAATAGTCATCGACCAAAGTGGACTAATGTCAACATTTTTTGTTCTTTTAAGCTACAGAAACTAAGAAAGGAAAGCATTGTAAAATTAAATCAACAAGAAATTTCTCCAAGCACAAGTGTATGATCTAAGCCAGCCACAGCTTCCAAAACTTCATAACTTTGAGAGAAATCTACAATCATTGGTTCTGATTCATCGGTTGAACTACATAACCCTAATCTTCCATTTTTACCACAACCCCACACCCAAACGTCATTCTTTGCAGTGAGAGCAAGAGAATGTGCACGACCTGCTGACAGCGACTTAGGGGTCTCACCATCCAGCCCTTCAACCTGTTGGGGGATGTGGCTTGGACCTTGCCTCCCAAGTTGACTATTCTGGTTCCATCCCCATGAAAAAACCTTAATTCCAACACCTGATGCTACTTCAGAATAAGGAACTTCACAAACTGCCAAAGAGTGCCCTAAACCCGAAGCTATACCCAAGGTACGAAAGCCTATGTCAACAGTGTGCATTCCCAAATCTTGATTTGCCCTTCCTAACTGCCCATATGCATTGCTTCCACCACTTAAAAGTGTTCCATCATCTGAAATTCAATATTCAATCATGTTTTTCAAGTTAAAAATTGTGTGCTCATATCATGTAGTCCTAAATGCCCACTGGTGAGGATCCAATTGGAACCTGGGAAATGATTGGGAAGAAAATAAGTACAAAAACGTGGAGAAAATTTAGTAGGAAAGAAAACTTTGGGGGAAATGAGATATACGCACAAACCCAATAATTCTATATTTCTAAATTTGTTCAAACTCATTTTATTTATTCATTTATATTATATAAAAATTATCATCATCATCATTACCCCAGTGCTGCAAAGGCTCCCACACCTTCAGTGGGGTAAAAGGGGGTCGGATGTCCGCAATCTTACCCCTATACTAAAGCATAGAGAGACTGTTTCCGGTTCATATGAAAATATGAAATCTAAATATACATTAAAAAGAAATTTAATCATATTTCATTTTCCATTTTCCCCCAATATAAAACCAAACATAAGAAAATCACCTCTCCGTAGCAATTTCTTTCCTTTCCCTATCTTTTTCCAAAATCCAAACACAAATGAATGAAAAGCATGGCAACTTACTGCAAACAACTAATGAATGGTCAAGCCCACAAGCGATGTCTTCAACTTTCAACCCATGTAGTTCCTCAACTAAATCAGGCTCCCATATAACAGGCATATCTTTTTCCTTCTCCATGGCGTCAAAAACCGACTGTTCAGCAGCTTCCTCCACTGACAAATTATGTTCCAATGATTTAAACTGAGGAGAATTAGATTCCAATGGGGAAATTTCTAACTCTTTCCCAATCTTCCCTATTCTACCATCTGCATAATATCCCCAGCCAAACAATTTCCCACTTCTGGTCATTGCTAGGGCATGCCCCCAACCAAATGATAGCTGCAAATACCAAATGAACTTGAAGCAACAATACAATAGAGCACGGGATGTAAATTCAAATTTCCAATGTCAAACTGTCAATTAATTGTCTATTACTCTTTCCATACCAAAAACAAAATTCATGTTTCAAAAGCGTTGTTTGCCCCCAAAAAGTCATCATGATGCACCAAATAAAACTATTTCTTCATGTAATTTGGTGATGATGAAAAGTTGCAAGCTTGCAGCCAAGTCAAATATGATAATTTGTTCAACCAAGGGACAAGTTTTATAAATATAAGTGCTAATGTGAACGATGGGTGTCACAGAGGAGTTACAGACATGCTTGAGGTCAAATCTTTGGAGCAGTGGGCGTTCTATATTGGTCTTCCCTCACTGGTGGGTAGTTCTCACTTTATCAAAGAAAGAGTAGTTAATTGATTGAGCAGCTGGAAACATAGGTTTTTGTCCAGGTCAAGAGATTCTCCTTAAAACAGTGATTGAACCTATGCCTGCATATGTTATGAATGTATTTCTATTACCTCAAGACATGTGCTTAGAGATTGAACGACTTATGAACATTTCTGGTTGAAAGGGCTGTTCTGGTAGGGGTACTTGGTGGAAGAATTGGGGAGGACTGAGTATTCTTAAGTCAAGGGGTAGTATGGGGTTCAGAAGATTGAAGGAGTTTAAGCTGGATTGGGTAATAACTAATAATCCATCTTTAGTGAGGAAAAGTATTTGGGAAACTATATCAATTACTCCCTCCGTCCCACTAACAATGGGACAAGAGGGAGGGGCACGCAAATTAATAAAAAATGGTGTATGTGGTTGATATTGAATTGATAAAGTAAGAATAAAGTAAGAATGATTTAGGGCCACACAAACTTTACCAAATTTGGTATGAGACAATCTTAGTGGGACGAACCGAAAAGGTAAAATGGGACAATCTTAGCGGGACAGAGGTAGTATTAAAGATGGTTTCCATTGGCGAGCTGGAGATGGCAAGACAATTAAAGTGTGGGGAGATATTAGGAGCGGGTGGGATATTGACATGATTAATGATCTTTTTGTTAGCAGGAACCGAGAAAGTATTTTAGGGATTCCTGTGAGCAAGAGGCTAGCCCCAGATCAAATCATTTGTCCTTGGGATACTAAAGGCTGCTAAAAGTCTAGAGTAGTTGCAGGTTGCTAGACGAGGAATTTGATCAGGGACAAGAAATTGCTGGATCTGTATGTGGAATTTTAGATCCCGTTTGGTAAACATGTATTTGGGCTTATCAGCTTTATCAGCCAACTTTTTCATCAAACACGTACCTTTTAATTTTGCGCGCTGAATAGTATAATAATCAAAATAAGTAAGGTTGGAGTTACTTTTCTGGCTACATTTGCTGAAGTTACTGTAGAGAATCATTTTTAGCTGTTTTTCATATATTTATTTCTTTATTTTATTAATGAAAAATATTTTAAATATAATTTTTTCATAAATAAGCAAAATCAACCAATACAACCACTTCAGACAAAATTTCATTAATTGCAGCAGAATCAGCCGATTCAGTCAATTACAGTACAGTGTTACCAATTGGGCTCTTAGCATTCCACCAATGGTCAAAGTGTTTATGTGGCAACTGTGTGTTGGAAGTCTACTATTGCTGACAATTTAGCAGTGAGGAGGGTGAGTTGTCTGCAGGCTTGTGTTTTTTGCTCTACGGAGAGGGGAACAACTTTACATATTTTCAGTTGTTGCCGTTTAGCTAAGGAATTATGGAAATTGCAGAAGTGGAACTTAGTAGTGAAGGAGGAGGGCTACTCGACTCCAGATTGGGTAACATCTTTCATAAGTGATAACCCTAAGAAGTGCTGCAGTTCTATCATGCTTCTATGGGGAATTTGGAGGTCTAGGAACGATGTTGTGTGGAAGCAGATTGCAGCCACAGCTCAGAGGATCAAAGCTTGATCAGAGGCTTATTTGGAGGATGGAGAAGAGCTCAAGGCACTGCTGCAAAGAAGGGAACACTATATATTTATCCAGAAAAGTAGTGTCAATACTTCACCCCAAATGTCATTGTCACAACCTCCTTACAAAGAAATAGTGATAGAAATTCTAAAAGCATAGTTATATTTTTATATCCTACTTGCATAAAAATATCATGGGGCAGTGATAAGTTCATATAATTTCTATAGTCATGTTCTGTTATGAGATTGATATGGTACAATATATACGCATAGATAAAGAACATGATCATAGGCAGTATAAGTTCAGTTTCAATCTACAGCGTGGTTGGAAAATAACCTTAACTATATGTTCTCCAGCAAGTGTTTCGACCCTGGTGGGTATATGAGCCTTGGAAAGTCCTTTACCCAGGCCTAGTTGTCCATTATTAGAACTTCCCCAAACCCAAAGAGATCCATCCTCTGCAATGGCAGCAGAGACGACACCAGAAGCAAATGCAGCTCGGACTCTCACTTTATCTAGCCCTTCTACCCTCTTCGGTTCATTCCATGTTTCTCTGAATTAAATTCGAGAGAAGGAAGAAAATAAAGGATACATACATTAGTGTTGCAATCTACTCAAAGGAGCAAACTTTGTGTAAACAACATCCCCACATCCTCAATGCTTCCAGATCTAAATAACGAATCAAAACAGAGAAATTATTCATTTTCCCGTGCAGTTGTAAAGACGACCCCATTCTTATGATACAACCTGTAAATGATGAAGTTCTCTAGAAATCTTGACGCACAAACTCATACCATTGGAATTTAGATTTGTATGATGTTTCATGTTCAAAGGCTGTACAAACAATAACTAAAGCTTTGAAAGTAAAACATCATATAAATGTAAGAGAACATCAACGGATGTAAATTTAGGTAAAAGATATTTACGTGCTGCAAGTTTCATGTTTTCGGATACCTCATTCACGTCGCACAAGTTTTTTCTATTAGTATTATCAAGATCTTAGAAAAATCGTAATAAAAAAGTACTTTACTACCAATAAAATAAGCAAAACATGAGATTCTATCACACTTCAACAATAAAAAATGCACACATACATGGATTATATCAACAGAGAACTACCTAGGAGAAAGAGGATCGCGACCAAGCTGAGCTTCGAGGTTACGGCCCCACGCATAAACATGGCCCTTACGAGTGACGGCAAGAGAGTGAAAGTGGCCAGCAGCAATGCTGGTGACATCACGAGGCAGGCACGGAATGGGAGTCGGCTCGTAAGCATCAAAACCTAAACCCATTGTGGACATTGGTAGGCCTAAAGCTCCGTGACTTCCATCGCCAAAGCTCATCACGGTTGGTCCCATATTGGTACATATCCATCGCCGGGTCAGTCCGATAAGAAAACTGGATGTCAAGAATCTCTGTCTCTTGACTGAAAACATCAATCGTGCTTGATTGCTAAGACGGCCAGCCGGGCCAGGCTGTTAGTCAAATTCAACAAATTTTACATCTAACATTAAATTCCTTGATTACGGCAATATCTTTGAACTTTTTAACTCAATATTTTAAAGTTGCTAATTTTATTTTGTGCAATAATCAAAGGCATTCAGTTACCTTTTGTTTTATTTGTTTGACATATAAATAAACATTAGTGAACATATTGTTTCTATAAATATTGTAAATATGTTTTCACACTTTATTTTAGTCATTAAATACAGTTAAAGCTCAAAAGGAGATATGTATGAATGTTATGGCTTGCCTTCCATGATGAGCGGATATCATAATTCCTAATTCTTTCTTTTGAGCTATGGTATAATACCATGAAAAGTTCTGAGGCTTAAACTTACAATTGTTCTTTATTTTTCCAACACTTCATACAAAATGTTTCCAAGTCATAAAGTTACAGGAAGAATAACAAACTAACTCCATTAATTCAATAGTACCCAACATGGTGGGCACAACAGAAAATAGTATATGTGATGTGCTAAGAAGTAGTCAATTTGGGTACTATTTACTCCGCTTCTAAAAAGACACATGTTAAAAAAACATGTCTGGACGTACTCTTACCCCAACTCCCATCCAAAATATATCAGGTCAACACTTTGAGCCATTTAAATGATCTGATACCATGGGCACAACAGAAAATGCCTCACTTTGATACTTAAATGGTCTAGCACCATGGGCACAGGCTGCACAGCAGAAAAGGCCTCACTTTGATACTAACTATATGTAGGAGCAGAAAATACAAAGACACGTATAAAAGGGCTAGGAAAATACAAAGAGTCTAGTCGCCCCCGACGCACAATTTTTTAAACTAAGTTTTAGAAAAAAGATAAAGTACAATGCGATGTGAAAACATAAAATGGCCTGTGGTAGTATAATTAAAATATTCAGTTTGTTGTTCTCATTTTATGTTCTGTAATACAAGAGTGGAGTTTTATGCAGTTCATACTTCATAGTTCAAATAGTATGAAATATCATGTAGTTCATAGTTAAAAGTTCAATGTAATATGAGGAAGTGCTGTGTAATCCTCATGATAAGCCTCACCCCACCCCTTTCTTAGGAAAAGTGGAAAACTAAGGCAATTATATTGAATTAGCAAGTGGTATGGTTTCATTGGTAAGAGCTGATCTAACTTGAACTATATTTTACTTTAAATGGCATCAACATACTTTTTTAATTGTCCAAATAACCCAAAGTTGTAAACTTGTAATCCCCAAGTGGTTCAACATAGTAAGTCCTAATAACGGTGGTCTTTTGAAGCTCTAAGATTGGATAAGCGCCAATGCACTAGAGGTGCTACTTGACTATCTTATATTAGGGGTCAAGACGAGACACACATATATACATTAGGATATAATGAAGCAAAGTGGGGAGGCTAAAACACATTTTTTTGGGATGAAGACACTCTATTTTGACCCAGCCACTTTTTCCTATATACTCCGTATGTTTTTGGGGTCAAGACACTCTATTTTTACATATTACATATTTCCATTATATGTCATTCTTGTTTAGCCTAGCTATTTCGATTATTAAACAGATTACAAGTTAGGGGTTCCGTAAAAAGAAAGTGGAAAATGAGTTAAACTGAGATTTAGGAGCCATTTTACAGTTTTACTTCATTGGTTCAACCAGTTTATGTTTTCCATTTCTAAATATCATTCTCTTATACTTTTTTTATACAATAAGCCAGTGACAAATGGTGAAAAAAATATGGAATTTTAGTGTCTAACTAAAACCATAACAGACAATCACTGAAAGTATACCTATTAGTGATACTTTTGTTTAGAACAATACCACTGATGATACTTATGATAGAAATATGGCACTATGTAAGGGATGCACTAGAAAGCTATGGACCAAGGGAAAATCAGAGATACCCTTGTCGAAAAGTGTTCCATTTGAAAAAAACAATCACAAAATAACTTCAGTGTTCTTCCATTCATGAAACGTCCATAAAATTAAAGAAAATTACCTTTTTTGTTTTTCTTGCAGGCTCCTTCAACGGGTATCTATCTCATTTTTCATTCGATCTGAAATTCAAATTGAAACGAGAAGGATGGGGTCGCAAAGTACTTAAACAAGAAGGATAGAAAGGGAATTAATTGTTTTGGGCTAAAGCTTTTATGATCCAACAATTGGGCTCAAGGGCTGAACAATTTTTTTAAACTTAAAAAGAAAGAAACTACTAGCAATATTTTTCAATAGTTTTCGTACATACGTAAATACATATGTAGTAGTTAATGGTAAATATTTCATACTTTAGGTTTATCAGAGCACCCAAAGGGATGAGCCTTTGTCCAGTGATGAAATATCTGAAGTTCGTGAAACATTTTCCATTTGTGTTTGTGATAGTTTGTTGTAGATTAAAGTGAAAAGTGAAAACACATATTTTATGTATTAATTGTATTGGTTCATTGTGTAATAATTCTCGTGATGCATGACTGAAGTTATAATTTATGAATTTAGAGATTTTTCATAAGTTAGTGAGTACTGTTATCTTGAAATATGAAAAAAGGATTTTTGATGTAGCAAACAATACTTGTGTATTTAAATAGCATAAACAAACTAAATATTTCAAAAAGTATTTGCTGCAGTCAGAACCGCATCAATTAACCAAATACGGAGTAATTTTTTCAAAAAAAGTATTTGCTGCGGTTTATAATCGCAGCAATAAGTTCATTTTCGTTTTTTTAATTGTGTTTGCTACGGTCCGGAACCGCAACAATAAGTTCATTTTCGTTTTTAAATCGTATTTGCTGCGGTCCGGAACCGCAACAATAAGTTCATTTTCGTTTTTAAATCGTATTTGCTGCGGTCCGGAACCGCAGCAAATAGAGAATCCAGTATTGCAGTACCGGCAATTGATGCGGTTCAGAACCACAACGAATAGATAAAAATAATAGCAGCAAATAACTATATTTCTAGTAGTGGTAGATAAAAATAATCGCAGGAAACGACATTTCAACTCTAATGCCATGGAGAGCAAATTGACAATGGAAACAAACCAAAGTAAGACGAAGAGAAGAAAAATTGCAGATTTTTCCTTAACAAATTCTTTTTGAGCTAAGACTTTAGATCACATTATCATAACAATGGTTTAAGAGTGAAAAAGTATATAAATGTTTATTTCTCACATAAGTTCAGAACACGTACTAATCCAGCATATATAAAGTATAAACACACCATCGATAGGGTAAAAATAGTGAATCATTTCATCAAACATATTTTTAATATAGTCCATAATAAATAATTCCAATCTTTTCCATATGCACAAAGCAACTCAAATGATTTGATGATGATGATGTTAAATAGCAATGCTAAATGATTTGATTAAATATCACACTAAAAAAAATCCCCTTTTTAGTATCAAGTTGGTTGTTGCGTGATTAATATCAATAATAGTGATATATAGGTTATAAGCTCGTTCAATCAGTTAAAAACATGTATCGCTCAGGACTCCATGTAATCACTAAGTTATTTAGGTAAACTAATTTTAGAAAAGAGATAAGGGCCAGCAATGATTGAATAAGATTTGGAGAAAGAAACTTTTTTTAAAATAGAGAAAGAAAAAATTTCAATGAATGGAAGACTTACTGATTCTGTGTAAGGCAATGGATAAGGGAACATTCAGCTAAGAAGAGTCTGAGATCTTTTCAATGCAAAACCTCTCTGTATCTGCACGAAGAAAAAGCATTCTAGCGGGTAAGGTGTTCTTTCGATGATGTTGGGGTGCGGCTGATGAAGAGAAATGTGAGCAACGAGAATTACACAAATGACCTCAGGGAGAAGTTACGGAAATGAGTTCATGAGAGTGCAGGATTCTAAACTTATGTTTATGGATGAAACTAATTTATGGATTCCAAACACCCCTGAGCTAAGCATTCGATGGGTCGATCAGTCAAATAACGGATCTTTAACCGAATAACTGATCAAATTTTTTCACTCTAATGACCAACCGAAACCGACTGATAATATCACAATAATCAACCAAAAATAGTAGTTTGACTTTGGTCGGTAACTGAATAAACGAAAGTAACAGACCATATAAATTTTTTAAGCATTTTTTTTTCAAAAAAATTGAATGGTGTAAATAAACATACTAGAAAAAAATATTTGATACAAAAATGGATGAAACTAATTTATTTTTAGACTACAAAACAAAATGAATGAAATAATTGATCATATATAAAATTCTTTTTCTCCATTCATGAAATAAATATGAAAATAATTCCTATTCAAGAAAAATAATTCCTATTCAAAAGACAGTACAAAAATAACATTTGGCTTATTTTTGTACTGTTTCTCCATATATGAATTATTTTCTTGTGCAAGCATTTGGCTTATTTTGAAACTAAGCGTATGGGAGTTGAGATTCATGTAATTTCCATTGTTATGTTTCCATTTTTAATTAGTTTTGTAGTTTGTTATTTTGAAAATTACACACTTTTGGTGTAATATTTTAGTTTGTTTAAATCATTGTAAATTGTTTATATTAGGCTTATTCTGAGCTAAAACAGGTACATGATTACTCAAGAGACCATTGGTGATCCCAAAAGAGGAACGAAGGTGCAAGAATGCAAGACAAAAAGAGAAGATTTCGATTTTGGGCTGTACCCGATCGGATATACCCTATACACGATTGGATACCTACCTATTTTGCAAATCGGATCACATCTGAGAACAAAGGGACGTGTAAGGGACATTTTGACCACGATTTATTGTCGTACCCGATCAGGTACACCGACGCATCTGGTTGGGTATGGCTAACATTTCAAACTTCCTAGAACCTGCTGAAGGTACCTGATCGAGTACCCCATATACCCGATCAGGTACACATCCATGCATGCTCCCATTTTCCTATAAATACACATCTTTCCTTCACACTTGAATTACCAATTGATGTACACTTCTAAGCTCAGTCTAGTTAAGTACTTTATATTTTTATCATGTTTTGTCTCCAAATGACTAAATGAGGATCTAAAATCTTCCATCTTGGTTTTGCTACGTTGAACCTTAATGAATTGTAAGTTGTGAGTTTTTATCTTTAATCTTCTTTCTTGAATATTAATTAATTCCTATTCATATTTCATATTAATATTTTGAGCATTACTTAAAGGATCAACTAGTTTTGTTTCATATACGGAGTATTAATTATTACTAGAATCGGTCGACGAATACGCTTGTTAATCGTTCGGTCCTTTCACGGTAGTAAACTTGGATTATTAATACATGCGTCTTATGGTTACTAATCTAAAGGGAATTAATTATATTGATTAAACCAATAAACCGCTTATGTTGAGGTTATCAATCTCAATTGTTTTCATCCCCTAAGTTTTATTGCTACTATCGGGTCAATATACGGCGCGTGTTCTATGTTGACTCGGTAGTAAGTTTTATTAATAAACGCATCTCGTTATTAATAACTACCCTCGATAAACTGGATATACTCCTTGATTGAGTATTCAAGAGGAAGATAGTTAAAGATATTACCAGGATCGACGAACATTTCAATAAGTGGATACATGCAAAACCAAGTCTTCATCTCTAATTAATTAAACCACATAAGTCGTCCAACTTAGTGTTTAAATATACTTCAAGTTCAACAACAACTTTACCCCCTGTTACTAGTTACATAAAAAGAGAAATATTCATTTCCCTGTGGATACGAACCTTACTTCGTTATACTACGTATAATCGTTGTATTGGATATTATTTTGAGACACACCACGACAAAGTGCCGTCAACAACAAACATCTGACACGCTCCATCAAAGTTCTGTTCATTTGTGCTGCTAATCCGTTCAACTACGGTTTCTTGGGAGAACTCTTTTGATGTCGAATACCATGGTCTCTACAATAAGCATCAAAGGGGCCAATGTATACACCTCCATTTACCTGTCTGAATACACCTGAGTTTCTTTCCAGTTTGTATCTCAACCGAAGCATGAAACTGCTTAACACTTCAAATACTTGATCATTAGATTCAAGGTATAAACACATACCTTTCTGGAGTGATCATCAATGAATGTGACAAAGTAAGAGCAAACACCAAGTGTCATAGTCTTCATAGGACCACAAACATCAGAATGCACCATATCAAGTATACTTTCCTTCCTGAAAGAGGATGGCTCTTAAAGGAAACTTTGTTTTTTTACGTGCCAAACAGTGGGAACACTTCTTTAGATGAATTTCATGCACACCCAGTAACACATTTCTCTTCAACAAAAGAAACATTCCATTTTGACACATGTGACCAAGCCTCTTATGCCACAAACCAGTCATGTCAGTATTTACCACAACATTGACCCTTTCCTTGAAGATCTTCGGATGTGTCATGTACAACATTGAGCATCTTTTACCTCTAGCTACAATCAAAGAACCATGAGTGGGTTTTCATTTCCCGTTACCAAAGTTGTTGCTGTTACCATCATCTATCATCAAGTAAGCCCGCGGAGATCAAATTAAGTCTCATATCTGAAACATGTTTTACATTATGTAAAACCAACTCTATATATCCCGGTGTCAATCAAACTTCAAGAAAATATCTCCGATGCGTGCAATCTTTGATAGTCCATTATTACCCATCCTAACATTACCAAAGTTACCTGGAGTGTAAGATGAATAAAAATCCCTCCGTCATGTTACATGATATGTAGCACCACTATCAACAACCCAAATCGAATCATCATGCGGAATGTTGACCATATCTAGATCACAACAAATGAGGAACTCTTCGGTGGTAGTGTTAACTTCAACACTGCCATTACCGCCCTAATCTCTCTTATGGTTCTTTTGATTGTTGTAATCACTCTTTTTCTTCTCCTTTTCAATTGCCTGCAGAACCATATTATGTGCCCTTTTCTACCACAACGATAGCACTCAAAATCATCAAACTTTCCTTTGGATTTACTTTGATGCTCCCCTTTGTTACCTGGACCTCTACTCTGACTTCTGCCCCCACTTTCTGTAACTAAGACAACAGAATGTGAAGAGGAACCTTGTGACTTTCTTCTCATATCTTCATTTAAAATACTGCATTTAGCCAATTCCATGGTGATGATACCATTCGGTGCAAAGTTGAACAATGATGTCCTAAAAGTCTCCCATGAGTCCGATAAAGTGCCAAGAAGCCATAAGCCTTGTATTTCATCTTCAAACTTGATACCCATTCCTGCAAGCTGATTAATAATTCCCTGAAAAAGACTCAAATGATCAGTGACAGGAGTCCCACCACGATATTTCAATCTCATCATCTATTTTATTAAAAACAATTTATTGTTCCCGGTCTTTCGAACATACAACTGTTCAAGCGTGTTCCACAAAGTGCGAGCATGAGTTTCTCCACTGATATGGTTCAAGACATTATCATCAACCCATTGTCGAACATACTCACAAACATGTCTATGCAAAATATTCCACTCTGCATCTGTTTTACTCTCAGGTTTATCAGTAGTAAACACAGGCAAATAATAATCCTTCACATAAAGAAGGTCTTCCATTGCCTTTCCAAACATGATAATTAAAACCATTCAAATTTATCATCCTACTTGTGTTAGCTTCCATCATTCAAACAAGTCTAACGCAATACAGAAGAACTCGACTTTGATACTGATTTGATGGGAAAAACAGCCACAAACGGTAACTAATAAAATGCGGAATTAATTTTCATTTGGCTAAATTTTCCCAGCTTGAATGAACCTTTGAAGATGCAAACAAATAGGGTGTTCTTAATCCAATTAGAACACACACAATACACCATTGTGCACCAAGATATTGAGATAAAAATAGTAAGCACACATAACACAATGACACAGAAATTTTAGCATGGAAATCCCCATAAACTAGGGAAAAATCATGGGACCATTTTGGCCACTTAAATCCACTGTCACCATCAATGGAGCAATACGAAGTCTTCTCTAGATAATACTAGAGGTGTATGGAATCAAAATACAGTCAAGATAAGAAATATATTACCAGAAAAATAGCTATTGTCCAGACCAACGAAACCCGAACTCCGGACCTCAAAACCCGATATCCACCGTCCAGAGTGTTGGCTCAGATGCTGTGTAGCTGCTGCCCAAAATCACGATGATCCAACGACCCAATCTCTGGGAAACAGAACTTTTCTGCTGCTGTTTGCTGAAAAAACGGGATGAACAGTTCAGCTCATGTTTTGTGACTCTTTTTTGTGGCAATATGGTTTGTGACTTTTTGTTCTCTCAAATCATTGCTCTCTTTCTGTCCTTATGTTTGAGATAGTAGCTGCCCTTATTATTATTAGCTCCCAAAATAGAAATTCTAATTCAGACTTTAATGGGTTCAATAGTTGGGCTTTCCTCATGGTGTTGGAAAAGTAGAAATAAAATTTCCTTTAAGAAAAATTCTTACTTTACATGGAGTGCATCACGTTCCCGAAATTAGAAGGGACATTGTTAGCGTTCCCATTCTTGTTAGGGAGGGTTATGAGTTGTCATTTAAACTAAATAAAGTTGTAATTTTATTTGGTTGAACTTTTATTGGCGGGAGTTACTTGTCAGATGGACTGTTTAAGATTGTGGTCGATTATTTTGAATTAAATTATGTATCTGAGAAATGTGATTATTTTGAATGAAATTATGTATTTGAGAATTATGATAAAATAGATTATGATAACTGGATGTGAGAAATAAATAGGGATTTTTATAAAAATATTACTAAAACAAAACTTATTTACATAAATATGACTAATAGTTACTACAATGTAGTGTTGTGGTAACTTAAGTTCAGAGCCGGTCCTGTCTATTTTTGGACCTATGTGCGTGATAATAATTATACTAATTT